AAAAAAAAAAAAAAAAAAAAAGTTATGTGAATGTGCAAAGTATCTGCTGCACCAGCAGAAACTGGGAGCTTTGTTCTATGAGTAATAAATCCTTCTCTAAGGCAAGAACATACAGATTTATGGGCATTACCTGGAGGGTGACAGCTCAGCCAGGCCTCCCCTTCATTTTTCCTGTGAAGACAAACAAAAGTCTAATTAAGCTCTTACAAAGTTGAATAGGATGCCATTGATAAAAAAGAGGGTGAAAAAAGATCATATACTTTCCAGTTTGTTCATAGTCCTTAGACATGATCTAGTCTACCCCCCATCAAGAATAGATTCTTCTAAGACACTCAATTTTGTTTGCTTGTTGAAGTATTTAAGAGATATTTATAAAATCAATGCTTGAATACTTTCACTTATAGAGTTCACTTTGAAAAACCCAAGATTATTTATAGATATTTATTGGGATTACTGTAAACCAGATCCTGTGCAAGGCACACTGCATTAATCCTCACAACAACCAAATGAGAGACTTTATTATTCTCATGTTAAACATTAAAAATTGAAATTTAAGAGAGAAATGATTTGCCCAAGTCACCTAGCTGTTACATAGGAATTGAAATCTGGAACTGCTACACAGTAAGATACCTTCTAACATCTCACACTGACTTTTTACATTTTAGAGCACCCACACCCCAGTGTTCCAAAACCTGATCTTTGCACTCTTAACACTGAAGCCCTATACTTTGAAAACAGAAAGATCTAAACTGGGTGTGGTGGCGCAGGCCTGTAATCCCAGCACTCTGAGGCTGGGGCAGGAATATCACAAGTTCATGTTAAGATCCTGTCCTAAGCAAGTTTTTAAAAAGGGGTAGGGGACTGGGGATGTAGTCCAGAAAAACGCTCTTGCTTAATTCCCAGTACCACAAAGGAGGAAAAAAAAAAAAAAGACAGCTCTAGATTTATAGCTCAATCACATGACCAACTGCATAATCTTTATCAGCTGTCCTCTGATATGGACCCTACATTTTCTCACAAGCACCTTACAGCACTGAATATATATTACCGTTCTTCCTCTATTATCACATTTTGTGTTCTAGTAATTTGTTATATTTTAAACCCACATAATAAGATAGAGGTTTCTTAAGTGCAGGAGGATATGTTTCATTCATTTCCACCACTGTTTCAATTTTTTTTTTTTTTTCCGGTACTGAGGATCAAACCCAGTACCTTGTGCTTGCAAGGCAGGCAATGAATGGCACCACTGACCTGCCACTGTTTCAATTTTAAAAATTCTTATTACGGTTGTCATTTATGGCACTATGTATGCATCCTGATACCTAGATAAGTGACTAGCACAATATAAGATAAAAAAGTATATACTGAATGAAAAGATTGCTGCGTAGCCCCAATTAAAACGTCAGCAGAGCACGAACCATCACTTAAATTTAGGGTACATATGTGAGCTCCATCTAGAATCTAGTACAGGGCCTGGAAATGTGTAGGTGTCAGTTTCCTGAACCGAATCGTCCATTATGTCTAATGTAGCGTTACAGTTAGGAAGATACAAAGGCTCCATTACATAGCCGTGGTGATTACTGAAACTTTTGCAATTTAACTGCTGACCAATAAATATTTTCCTCGGCCAACAGTATTCCTGGCTCCCAAACTCTTATTCTCCAACTCATTGCGCCTGGTTCGACGCAGGTATCATACAGCGCATTTGTGTTCCCTTGACCTCAGGACAGCTGTTCAGAGCGAAAAAACTCACGACCACGAGGGTTTGAACTTTTTCTGGTCCCTGTGACCTTCCAGTTCCCTCAACAATTGATGGGGTAACCCTCATGGGTATCCTGGGCCAGACATGGCCTTCCTTGATGCAAAGTAAACATCCACTACCCATCTTCTCTGCTCCTGCTAGAGGGTGGCGTTCACCTGAGAGTTTGGACCCAGTCGCTCTGAATCCTCAAAGGCGCCGCCATCTTGGCCCCGCCCCACCAGCCCGCCTCTTCCGCCCTGTCCCGGATATAGGGCTCCCGCCACAGTCGCGGCGAGGGCGGAGGGCGAGGCCTACACTGAGAAGCCACCAATGAAAGTGCGCAGCGGGATTTCCACGTCCTTCCTTGTGCGTGATCGCACAAGGGACCTCCTGTTCCTGGGGAGAGAATCTTCCCGCAGTTTTCGCCGCAGCGGCGAGCGGGCCTGCGGGTCTTCTCCTGCTGCCTGTTCTGGTGAGCACCGCATACCACGTCCTGTCGCGGGGAGGCACCGCGCCCACACCTGGAGAGCGCCGCAGTGCCGCATGCGCGCATGCGTCTTCTCGTTGAAATGGGAAAGGCGCTTCCTGTGATCTGTGTCCTTGTGTTTCTCGGCGTGCCCGTCCGTTTCTGCCTTCATTCCGCAGTTCGCCTGCCTGCCGTCTATCCTGCCTTGTTCTCTGAACCGCGGTAGTCCTTGTCTTACTACAGGGGAAACAAAACAGGATGTAGTGGGGGAAGACTAGTAGCCTTTCCTGGGTTCTCTGGTAGCCCAAAGCACTTTTCGCTCATTATATTAACCTTCACTCTACTTTTGCAAGTATTTATGAGGGAGTTAAAAAGATAACCTGGTAAAGCATGACTGGGATTCGAACTTGCATCTTTTGGCTTAGGGTCCAAGGCATTTCTATCCCACGGTTCTTACTCTAAAAAGTTTGTTCCCAGTGTTTTTAAAGAGCTCACAATGTGTTTAGGGAGAGCATGTATCCTAATAGGTACTTTTTTTTTTTTTTTTTTTTTTTTTTTTTTTTTTTTTTTTTTTTTTTGAGATCTTTCTGTAGTTTAGGCTGTCCTTCAGCTCACTCTAGCCTAGGCTTGGCTCTAACTCGAAGCCACCTTTCTGCCTCAGCCTCCCTAGTGCTGGGATTACAGGCCTGCACCGTTACAGCCGATTTGGAACCATTATTTATTGAATTCTTTGAAACATTTTCATATCCTTTTCCAATGAGATTACTAAGTGACTTGTCTAAGGACAAAGGAGGCAGTGGCAAAGCTAGGGTTAAATCCATGCTGCTTTTTTTTTCTTTGAGACAGGGTTTCATTTTCTAATTCAGGCTGGCCTTGAACTCCCTATGCAGTTCAGGCCAGTGCAAGGATTGCAGGCTTGCTCCACCACACCCAGAAAAATCCATGTTTATTTCAAAGCCATTTTCTCTCCTCTCTTAAATTATACTGCTTCCTGCTTGGTGTGGTGGCACACGCCTGTAATCCCAGCCCTTGGGAGGCTGAGGCAGGAGGATCACTATGACTTTGAGACCAGCCTAGACTATATAGTGAGTTCCATCCAGGCCAGGCTCAACTACATACATAGATCCTGTCTCAAAAAACCAAAAAAAAAAAAAATTATACTGACTCCAAAACATTTTTTTTGTATAGAAATATAGAGTGCTAAATCCCTCTTGTGACTTCCTCATGCATCAGGTAAAAGTCTCAAAGTCCTTAACCTGGTGTACTAAGCCTTTGTGTGATCAGATGCACAGTCATTTTGCTAATTTTTATTTCTTCTCATTCTCAACATTTTCTTTAGTCACTGAAGGTTTTGTTTTGCTTGCTTGCTTTGTGTGGTTCCAAGGATCAAACTCAGGGCCTCATGCATGTTGGACACACTCTACCATGAGTTGCACCTTCAGTCACTGAGCTTTATTCATTCAGTTTTTTTGTTTGTTTTGTTTTGTGGCAAGGTCTCCCTTCGTAGTTCAGGGTGGCCTTGAATTCACTGTGTGGCCTAGGCTGGCCTCAAACTCACAGCAATCCTCCTGCCTCAGCCTCCTGAGTGCTGGGATTGTAGGTATGCACCACCACACCCAGCTTTCATTCATTTTTGCCATACTGGGTACTGAAGCGAGTACCTTCACATTGAGTGCATCCCCAGCCCCACACCCCTTTTTGAAGCAAAACATTTATTGGTACATTTTAGGTCTATATAATGATAACATTCATCATAGGGAATTTGTACCTGTACAAGATACATCTTGCTTCTTCCTTTTTTCCCATTTTCCTCCCCCACCCCACCCTTTGACACCTCTTCTCATTTATAAAAGCTTTGTTTCCATTTTTTCCTTCTCTTGTCTTTTTCCTCCCTTTCTTTTCTTTTCTTTTTTTTTTTAAGATAGGGTCTCACTGAGTTGACCAGGCTGGACTGTAACTCCTTTCCAAACCTCCCAGAGAGCTGAGATTAGAGGTGTGCACCACCCTGCCTGGCTATCGCTGAATTTTTGATTCCTGCAAGTGTCACATTCTGTCTCATTCTTCTGTTGGCCAGAAATATTCTCATCTCCTGTTCACCCCCTTGAATCTTAGCTTAGAAGTTACTATCTCCAGGCAAGCCTTCCCTGCCTACTCCTATCCTTGACTGGATTACATATACCTCTACTGTGTTCCCAATCCTAGCTGTCTGGTTTCACTGTCAGAAGCTGTTTACTTGCTTAGTTTGTAAATTCATGAAGGCAAGAACCCTATCTGGCTTGATTATTCCTATTTACTCTAACATTGTGACTGGTGTGTGATAGATAACTCAATAATCGTTTATTGGAGCTGGGCATGGTGGTGCATGCCTGTAATCTCAGCACTCTGGAGGCTGAGGCAGGAGGATCGCTGTGAGTTCGAGACCAGCCTGGGCTACGTAGTGAGTTCCAGGCCAGTCTCAACTACATAGTGAGACCCTGTCTCAAAAAAACAAAACAAAACAAAATAATAATAATAATCATTTATTGGAGCTAGATATGTAGCTCAGTAGTACAGCACTTGCCCAGCATCTGTGAGGTCCTGTGTTCAATTACCAGCACTGGGGAAAAAATCTCTTGAATGAATGAGAGACAGGAGAAGAATGGAGGTGTCTTTTTTTTTTTTTTTTTGTACCAGGGATCAAACTCTGGACTTTCCGCTTGCAAGGCAGGCAGTGGAACAACTGAGCTAAATCCCCAGCCCAAAGAAGTATGTTCTGCAAGGGTGAGTGCAGGCCTTTTTTTTTTTTTTTTTTTTTGTACCAGGGATTGAACTCTGGACCTTGTGCTTATGAGCAGATGGCAACACCAGTGAGCTACATCCTTGGCCTGAGGTGTCTTTCTAGCTCCCTTTTTTTTGTGTGTGTGTGTGTGTAGCAGGGATCAAACTCGGGTCCTTGCGCTTGCAAGGCAGGCAGTGGAACCACTGAGCTAAATCTCTGGTCCTTTAGCTCCTTTAAAATATACTATGGCTAATTTTATGCCAAGTCTAAAGTCATTTCTCTTCCACTCTTTCTTAAGTTTTTTTTTTCCTTTTTGTTTTGGTACCAGGGAACGAACTCAGTCCTTGCACTAGCAAGGCAGGTGGTGGCAGCACTGAGCTAAATCCCCAGTTTTAAGTTCTTTCTTGCTACTTTCTTCTGGCTACTCTGAAGTAGATGATGTTGAGGAAACATCTACATCTGAAGTAGATGATGTTGAGGAAACAGTTATCCCTAGCCTTTGGGAATAGTTGAGACAGTGGTCTCCATTGTCCCATAGACTCATCTCTTGTCCTGGCCTCTGCATGGTCTGTGTTACAGCCATATTGAACTCTAGCCATTCCTCCCGTGTGTCAAAACCTACCCTTTGGGTACCCTTCTATGGTACCTAGTCTGGCCTGGACTAGGAAGACATGAAAAGGATGGGAATTGTGCTCTTCAAGCAGAGAATAAGGCCAGTAGAAGAAAAGGAAAAAGGTTCTTTTGAAGTAGATCAGAGATGGCTTCCCCAGAAAGATGTTTCACATAATTTATATTCCATTAGTAGAATCCACTGAGCTATGTAAAGCATTATTGAGTGCTATGTAAAGCATTTCCATATTCTTTTTATTTTGTTCTGTTCCTTTTTTTTTTGTACCAGAGATTGAACTCAGGACCTTGTGTTTACAAGGCAGACGGCAGAACCACTGAGCTAAATCCCTGGCCTTTTTGTTCAGTTTAGTTCAAACTATTTTGTAGGCCTGCTCTCTACCAGGCCTGGTGCTAAGGCACCAAGATAAAACAGACCCACTGTCTGTTCTCAAAGAGCTTATTATGTTTTAGGGGAGACAAACATATAAGCAGGATATAACAGAATAGTTTGGTTGGTGCTGTTTAAAATATAGGAATCTTATCTAATCATAGCTGTACTATAAACCTTGTCTCTAGACTCCCCAAGATGTCAGCCTCAGTCCCTCAAGGCCATAACTGGGCCCAACGGGTAAAGAAGGAAGAAGAAGAAGAAGACCCACTGGACCAGCTCATCTCCCGTTCTGGATGTGCTGCTGCACACTTTGCAGTGCAGGAGTGCATGGCTGAGCACCAGGACTGGAGGCAGTGCCAATCACAGGTGCAGGCCTTCAGGGAATGCATGAGTGAACAGCAGGCAAAGCGACGGGAAGAGCTGCAGAGGAGGAAGGAGCAAGCCATTGCCCACCACTGAGACCTCAAACTACCTGCCCCAAGAGGATGGCTCTGCAGAAATTAGCATCCAGGGAGATTGTGGGAGGAAGAAATCCCGAGGCATAAACCAGGAGGTGTAAAACTTGCAAATAGTGTTTGGGACTAGACTTGAGAACCACACATCAGGAGTTTGGACATAACTCATAAAGACCTGTTTTATATATATAAATATATTTGGGGGGGTACCAGGGATAGAACTTGGAACCTTGTGCTTGCTAGGCAGGCAGTGGCACCACTGAGCTAATTCCCTGGCCCAGACCTGTTATATTTTAATGGTCAGATATCTCACATCCTCACCCATCTTGTTCCTCTAACGTTTGCCATGGAAAACAAAGAGTGGTATAGGGTATCTCCCCACCCCACCTCTTGGGTCAGTAGTACTGTGATGGTTATAGGGACATTTTAATTTTAGAAGTAAATTCACGACCTAAAGACCTAGTCAGGTTTGTGTCTTTAGTTGTGGGTATAACAACAGCAAGTGTTTCTGAAGCATTGTGTTGGAACTAATGCAAAGAATAATGTGACCTGTGCCTTCATGTTGCTTGGGGTCTAGTTTGAGGGATGGAAATAAAACAACACTGGAGCAGCTAACTTAATTTCAAACAATGATAAGTGCCTTTATCATTTGTCACTTGATCTGGATGCTTCATCAGCTTAATGAAAGGAATGCAAACAGGCAAATTACTTTTGAATAAATATTGAGTATATACAAAGTTCGCCTGTGGTAGCACATTCCTAAAATCATAGCACTTTAGGAGACTGAGGCAGGAGTATCCCAAGTTCAAGTCTCACCTAAGCAATTTATTGCATCTTTGTGTGTGTGGTATCAGAGATCGAACTCAGGACCTTACACTTGAAAGCAGGTACGGTGCCACTGAGCTAAATCCCCACCATAAGCAATTTATTTATATATAGTGTATGTGTGTGTGAGTGAATTTCTTAATTTTTAAAATAAATTTTATCCCTTTCCCCCGTCAAACCTCCCCCTCTATGTACAAAAGCTTTGTTTCCATTTTTTCCTTCTATTTCACTTTTTTTCTTGTCACTTCCTTTCTCCATCCCTCCTTTCTTATTCCGCTTCCTGTTTGAACACTTTCCATTTCCTAACATCCAATGTACACCTCAGTTCTTATTTCCACATTTAGTTTCTCACACCAGAGAAACTGTGGTATTTAAACATGTGCCTGATTTATTTAAGGGGGTGACCCCTGCCATAGGAGCTGGAATGCTGTCCTCAATAACAAACATTTCCTTAGCACTTAGGTATTAGAAGCCCAAATCTGAAGTAGCAGCAGGCCCTGAAATCTGATTTTTTTGAGTTTTGTGCTGCTGATATTTTAGGAAGAAGGAAAGGAAAGGGAGATGTGAGAATGTAAGGAACAATAAAACCCTATTTGAGTTTGGGAATGGCCAGGTAAATATGGCAAAAATGTATGTGTGAGTCCTTGTGTTCTCAATGCTTTGGGCCATTGGAGGGAGCAAGCAGTGTGCACTAGCTGTCAGTAAGGCTCAAGAGAACGGAGTTGACTTGAACCTTTTAAAATGAAGTAGATGTTACCCGTTTGGAACAGAACAGAAAAAACTTCCATGTGGAATAAAAAGGACCTAGAAATCAAGGAAAAACACATGCTGCAAAATGTAAATATAGACTGGTTGAGCCTAATGACAGTTTTTGTTGTATTTTGGGGTACTGGGGATCAAATCCAGTTACTTAATGATTCTCATTCCTCAGCCTCCCAGGTAGCTGGAATTGTAGGTGTGCGCAACACCGAGATTCTACTGACAAAAAATTAAAAATATTTATTGTATTGGCAGGGATAGGGATAAATAGACCAATTAACACTAGTAAAAGATTTCTAATTAGTAAAACAGTAGGTTGCACAGGCTTGGATCAAACTTGCAATGCTCCCGCCTCAGCCCCCAAGAGTGATAGGATTACAGGCATGCACCACCATATCCAGCTGTTTCTTCAATTGAATGGGGGATATTTCCTTCCTTGGCCTACTAAAAAGATTAACTGAGGAGCTGGGGGTAGAGCGGAGTGTTAGAGCACTTGCATAGCACACACAAGGCCCTGCATTCAATCCTAAGCACCACAAAAAGGGGAGGGACTATGTACATAGGCAATAATAAAAGTTGTTACCATTTGTTGTGTGATTTTTAGTAATACTTACAAGGCATTTAGTTCAACCAGTCCAGTTCCAGAGTCTGCTCGTGATCCATATGATAAAGTGCCTTAAGTCTTGTTATGCAACTTACTAGCCATGTGACTTTGGGCAAGTTACTGTATTTAACATCTCAGAGTCTATTTTCTCATCTCTAAAAATGTATATATATTACTTATTATAAGCCTCAAAATAAATTTATGTAGACGTTGAAAGAATGAGTTAATGTCATTAACCTTAAAAACTGGCACCTGAACGATAGCTATTGTGATCATTGTGTGCTAGTGACTATCCGGAGTTACAGTGCCTTATCTAATCCTCACTACATAACATCCAGTCCTTTACAGAGGAGGAAATTCAGAGCAAACAGTTTCTCAACTTTGTAGCCCATGGAGCTGGAATTTAGGTGGTCCATGTCTGTCCTTACACAAACAGCTACCTCTGGCAGGTTTGGTGCCAGGAATGAGTGGAAAGACCTGGCTAGGTGTCCCTCTGGCTAGGCCTAGGACAGGCTCATGGTATAGCTGTTCCCTGCAAGGTCTTTGGCTGCGGACTTGGCCTGATGCTCACTACAAAGATGCAGTGTAATGTGTTTTGCTAGATAAGTAAAAAGATACTTCCCCCACCCCCCCTCAGGTAAAGTTGCCAGACTGAGTAAGACCTTGGGCTGCTAATTTAGGAAATCCAGAGAGAACTGGAGTGAGTTCAGATTGAAACCTTACACTTACCTTCTGTAGACAATGCTGAGGATCCCTCCTCCGCTCCAGCAAGGACTTAGAGCCATCAGAGGAAGTAAGAGGGATTCCTCCCTTAGCAGTTGTCATTTAAGGACTTTTTCTTCTTCAGAGCCTGGCATTCTGAAGTTTAAATGACTAAGCTGGTTCCTTAAATGGTGTGCGGGCCTGTGATCCCAGTAGTGGAGGCCAAAGCACAAGGATCCCTGCAAGTTCAAGGCCAGCCTGCACTGCACGGTGAATTCAAGGCCAGCTTGAACTACATAGTAAGACCCTGTCTCAAAAAACAAGACAAAACAAAAATCAAAAAACGGGCTGGGATGTCTGAGAATGAAAGTTATTCCATGGTGCGTATAATAGCTAAATTAGTCATTTTGGATTCTGCAGAATGATCTGACATTTGGGGACAAAAACATCACTAAGAGATCAAAGTGCAGATTAAACAAGTACAGATTAAACAAGCACAAAAACACATTGGCCATTTCTGCAGTGTCTTTCCAGCAAGTCCATTTCTAGATGTGCACAGTGCATGTTTCGAGTGATTTCTTTCCTTAAGTACTTTTACATCCTAGAAACAGGACCAGGGGTTTCAGCATTGCCACAGTGTCCAAGTAGTCAATATACCCAGCTTTCCTTTGTGACTAAAACATACCCTAAAGGGGTAGAATCCACACCTGGCAATTTCCCAGGTTTCCAAGGTGGAAGAACAAAGGATCTTAAGCCAGAGGATAAAGGACTAAAACATGAAGCTGAGGAATCTGATGGACTTAACAAGGAAAACTATACATTTGACCCAGGCATTCTGTCCTTAAAAAGTATTTGAGCTACATAAAAATCCATTTCTGAACATCTCAGTAATGTGCACTAAACCAGAAATTAAATGACTTGGAGCAATCCCTGGCTCTGCCACTGACTAAATGTATGACCTTGGACAAGCCTATTTTCTTCTTTGTGCCATTTAACTCATCTATAAAATGAAGATTAAAATAGATTATCCAAAAATATAATAGAGCCAGTGTAGCTCTTCTCATTCCCAATCCATCGACCTTCCCTCTTTTCTTTTCTTTTTTTTTTTTTTTTTTTTTTTTTTTT